AAAGGCACCTCAACTTTTCCTCATTTATGTAGGACAGTCTTATAATATGCATCCAGATATCCTCCAATCACACAAGCTGAAAATTGTTCAACTTTACTGCAGTTCTGTAACCATATGGGAGGCAATCCTGTCTGTGTTCTGTGCACATCTAAAATTCCTGCTGAGTGACCTGCCCTGGGAGCTAGTTACCAGTGACCCAGGGCTGCGGCGGAAGGAGGGTGCAGGTGGGGGGGGAGAGCCCAGGGCTGGGGCAGCAGGGGGGGGTGCAGGTGGGGGGTGAGAGCCCAGAGCTGGGGCAGCAGGGGGTGTGGGGTTGGGGGGGGGGAAGGGAGAGCCCAAGGTTGTTTCATTTTGGTTTGTTGAACAGACCATAAATGCTTCATTTTTGAGTCAATTTCAGCCTTAAACTATGTTTCCCTGTTGTGATGCATTGCCTTGGGGGTGTTGTACCTCAGATTATCCCCTATGGGCCAGATTCCTTGGCCAGACTACATCTCCCACAGTAGTGTAGTTGATGGTAAACTTGGGTAAATAGAGTAGACCCACTTCTCATTTAGGGAATATGGAGTTTCCTTTAGGCTAGTTTACCCATTTTCTTTTTTACCACTACACCACTGATCTTCCATCGTGCACCTGTAGTTATGGGACTTGTATGATGTATCATGCTCAGTGGACTGTATTGCATCATGAGAAATGTAGTCTTGCCAGGGAGCTCAGCCCATAGGAGAAAACATGAGCCCAAACTACAGCTTCCATAAAGCAATGTGTCACTATTAGGGAAATGCAGTTTAATGTTGAACTGGCTCCAAACAAAGAGCCCTGGCTTTCAACAATCCCAAATATTCAGAATCAGGTGAAACCAATCCAAAAGGAAATATTTCCATTTTGTTTTCCAAATAGAAAATCAAAATGGCAGCATAATTGACATTCTCCTGTGGAAAATGTCAATTTTGTGCAAAATGAGTTTTCCTTTGGAAAATATTTCCAACAAAAATTCCCAACCAACTCTACCTGCTACAGAGATCAAATTGAAAAATTCTGCTATTTTGTGTTTTTTTTTGAAGTTTATAAATCTGCCTTCATTGTAATGTAACTCTCTCTCTTGAACTCTCTCCCCTTCATTGTAATGTAACTCTCTCTCTCCTCTTCCCTTTTCATGCAAAAAGTTGTTTTGGTTTATATGGCAAGAACTTGCAAAACTGGATCAAAATGGTGTGGTTGTTTGTTTAACAGCTGAGTAAAATCCAGCTCTCCTGTTAAATCGTTTTTAAACATGAGGTAAAAAGTTTAATTTTCACTTGCTTCTCCTCCCCATTTTTGGTTCCTTTAGGGGTGAAGTCTATGGTAGTTTTCCACTTTAATAGGACCATGATTTGGTCCGAAATGTATCCATTGGTCTCCCCCGCCCCTAACTTTACACAGAGAGGTAAATGCGAAGTGCAGTACCTATGCCTCTTGCTCATAGGTTTAAACTGTTTCTCTCAAAGCCTTGCAAAAGTGACTATCGCTGACATTTCAGGTGGTGTGTGGGAGGTGCTGCCTGGTGCTGGGGTGTGTGTGAAGAAGAGGGCGAAATTCTGAAGCTTGGAACTTGTACTGTAAGTATTAACGCTGTATGCCTTAGGGAGCTCTGTCTTTATGTGTCTTGTGGAGCAGGGACATCTTTACCGTATGTCTTTAACAGCACCTAGCAAATAAATAACACAACAGTAGAGGGGACAGGGACACAAGTGTGGAACCTCCCTGCCGACGGGAGGGATGTTGCTAATGCACAAGGCAAGAGTGTAAATTGTGTGTGGGCACTGCCACCCAGTCACCCTGTGGTTTCCTTGGGGGATCTTTCACATTCTGCAGCAGTGTTTGAACCGAGAGAGAAAGAGCTGGGATTCGGACTGTCAAACATTTACCCAATCGAAAGGTGGTTGGGAGGAAATTTACATTTGGCAACAAGTCTCGGCGCCTTACTGGAAAAGCGCAGAAGAAGTAGCAGTGCTTTGTAACTCAGCCAACACTGAAAACGAAGCAACGCCTCAGGGACAGCACGAGGAGACAAGGCTTACCAGAAACTAAAGAAATGGAGAATGGGACCGATCCCGTCTGCATTGCAAATGAGGCTCCGTTCTCTCACAAAATTATCGGAAGTAAGTTTTGCTGCTGCTTTAAAAATTGTGTGTGTGTGTGTGCGCGCGCGGGGAGGGGGAAAGGGGATTTTCCAGGAAGATTTCTTAGTTGAAAACGTGTCTGGACTGAAAGCCCTGTTTTCTCGTTCCAGACTATGTGCATCTAGTTTCCCGTTTTATTTTAGTGATCTGTAACATGAGGAAGCTGGGTTAGTGTTTGAAAGAGATTCCAGTAACTAAAAACGCTAAAAAATGGACCCACTATTAAAGTGTGTGATAATTATTAATATTTGGAGGTAATTTTTTTAGTACAAAGTAGTTCCCCAGAGTAACAGAAATGTAATGGCCATGCTAAGTATAATCTGTGCTGTATTGTAATTTTGATGCTATACAAGTAAAACATTAAGGGCCTGATCCTGCGGAGATTTATTACCAGACCAAGTGCTTATACTATGGTGAGTTACATAAGAACAGCCATACTGGATCAAACCAAAGATCCATCTAGCCCAGTATCCTGTCTTCTGACAGTGGCCAATGCCAGGTGTCCCAGAGGGAATGAACAGAACAGATAATCATCAAGTGATCCATTCCCTGTCACTCATTCCCAGCTTCTGGCAAACAGAGGCTAGGGACACCATAGAATCATAGAAGATTAGGGTTGGAAGGGACCTCAGGAGGTCATCTAGTCCAACCCCCTGCTCAAAGCAGGACCAACACCAACTATATCATCCCAGTCAGGGCTTTGTCAATCCGGGCCTTAAAAACCTCTAATTATGGAGATTCCACCACCTCCCTAGGCAACCCATTCCAGTGCTTCACCACCCTTCTAGTGAAATAGTGTTTCCTAATATCCAACCTAGGCCTCCCCCACTGCAACTTGAGACCAGTGGTTTCCCCAGGAATTGAAATTCGGGGTGGTGTCCAAATTTACCCGGGTGGGGGTGTGTGTGTCAGGACCGATGAGATATATAAAAGAGATATGAATAAAGTACATGTTTTGTTAGGATAATGCAAATTTAACATAAGGATAATGCAAGTTACACCAAAACACATAACAGGTCTAGATTTCTAAAAAAAATCATTACAAAAAATTATTTAATTTAAATTGACTTTTGGAAAGTAAGCCATCATGGGATAAGAGGGAAGTCCTCTCATGGATCAGTAAGTGGTTAAAAGATGGGAAACAAAGGATAGGAATAAATTATCAGTTTTCAGAATGGAGAGAGATAAATAGTGGTATCCCTGAGGGGTTGATACTGGGACCATTACTGTTCAACATACTCATAAATGATCTGGAAAAATGAGTAAACAGTGAGGTGGCAAAATTTGCAGATGATACAAAACTATTCAAGATAGTTAAGTCCCAGGCAGACTGCGAAGAGTTACAAAGGGATTTCACAAAACTGAGTGACTGGGCAACAAAAATGGCGGATGAAATTCAATGTTGATAAATGCAAAGTAATGCACATTGGAAAACAATCTCAACTATACATACAAAATGAAGGAGTCTGAATTAGCTGTTAACACTCAAGGAAGAGATCTTGGAGTCATTGTGGATAGTTCCCTGAAAACATCCACTCAATGTGCAGCGGCAGTCAATGATTCCCAACATTCTGTTTGCTTTTTTAAAAAGAACAGGAGTACGTGTGGCACCTTAGAGACAAACAAATTTATTTGAGCATAAGCTTTCGTGGGCTACAGCCCACTTCTTCGGATGTAGCCCATGAAAGCTTATGCTCAAATAAATTTGTTAGTCTCTAAGCTGCTACAAGTACTCCTGTTCTTTTTGGGGATACAGACTAACACGGCTGCTATTCTGAAACCTTTGCTTTTTTTAAGAAAGGGATAGATAATAAGACAGAAAATATCATATTGCCTCTGTATAAATCCATGGTACGTGTACACCTAGAATACTGTGTGCAGATCTGGTCACCCCATCCCAAAAAAGATATATTGGAAATGGAAAAGGTACAGAGATGGGCAACTAAAATGATTAGGGGTATGAAAACAGGAGGAAAAAATAAAATGACTGGGAATTTTCAGCTTAGAAAAGAGACGACTAAGGGGGGATATGATAGAGGTCTATAAAATCTTGACTGGTGTGAAGAAAGTGAATAAGGAAATGTTATTTAATCCTTCACATAACACAAGAACTAGCAGTCACCCAATGAAATTAATAGGCAGCAGGTTTAAAAAAAAAAAAGGAAGTACTTCTTCACACAACATAAAGTCAACCCGTGGAACTCTTTGCCAAGGGATGCTGTGAAGACCAAAACTATAACAGGATTAAAAAAAGAATTAGATAAATTCCTGGAGAATAGGTCCATCAGTGGCTATTAGCCAGAATGGGGAGGGATGCAACACCATGCTCTGAGTGTCCCTAGCCTGTTTGCCAGAAGCTGGGAATGGGCAACAGGGGATGGATCACTTGATGATTACCTGTTCTGTTCATTCCCTCTGAAGCACCTGGCCTTGACCACTGTTGGAAGACAGGATACTGGGCTATATGGACCATTGGTCTGACCCAGTATGATCATTCTTATGTAAAAATTAATTATAATAATAAAAATGTTTAGTACAGAAACTTCCCAACATAATGACTTCTCAAGATAGCAACAATGTGAGATAACAACCTTGGCAAATAATGCATTTAAAAAATCTTGGCCTACTGGGAAACATATTTATATAAGGCAACAGAGGGTCCTGTGGCACCTTTGAGACTAACAGAAGTATTGGGAGCATAAGCTTTTGTGGGTAAGAACCTCACTTCTTCAGATGCAAGACTTATATTTATATAAGTTTCCATTCCCAGTCACAAATCTAGCATTCTGGAGCAAAGTCACTAAAAGATAGTCCAACAAACAAATGTTTCTTTAACGTTCCCCTCACTTTACCCTCCACTGCGCCCCCCTCACCGGGGTTTTCCTTGGTCAGTGGAGGCTCA